TCTGTAGACTTCAGACTGATTTTGGGATCCATACCTGAGCTCTAGAGCAGCTACCAGTGCTCTATAGTTGTGCCTGTTGTCTGCTGACAACTGTCAAAGTATTTCCAGTGGTTGTCCCTCCAGGCTCGTTGCCAGATACACTGCCTTCTGCTCCTCTGTCCATCCATTCATTTTTGCCAGGACCTCAAATTGTACTCTATATATTTCCCTCGGTGCCTTCCCATCGAATTCCTGTGGCTTCCTTCGTACTAAATCACCCTTATTGCTGACATTCATATCTGGGATGTGACTTCGAACAGGACTGAGGATGTCTGCATTAGGGTTTAGCTGCGGGGTCTGGAAGAGGCTTCTCGTTGTCTGAGCCTGATTAGGTCGATGGCTAATATATCCTCCTTGTGTAAAAGACAATAAATCATTCTTTAATGTATTTAATTCACTTTGAAATTTACTAATGTTTTCCATTTGTGTACTCTGGCTTTCTGTCAATTGGTGGAGACTTTCTTCATGTTTATTTTATTTTTCCTCCATCCACTGCTGTAGTCTATCTTCTTGTTTATTTTCTTTCTCCTCCAACCACTGCTGTAGTCTCTCTTCTTGTCTCTTTTCTCGTTCTTCTTGTTTCTTTTCCTTTTCCTCCAACAACTGCTGTAATCTCTCTTGTTTATTTTGCTGTTCGAGCAGCCACTGTTGCAGGTTTTCTTGCCACTGCTGTTGCCCCTCTTCTTGTTTCTTTTCTTTTTCCTCCAACAGCTGCTCTAATCTATCTTCTTGTTTCTTTTGTTGTTCTTCTTGTTTTTTCTTTTTCCTCCAACAACTGCTGTAATCTCTCTTCTTGTTTATTTTCTCGTTTTTCTTGTTTCTTTTGCTGTTCTTGTGTTGCTGCCATCAAATCTGCTATGCTGTAGTTTGATTTGCCACCTCTCGTTTCCTTCTTCTTCTTTTATTTATTTTTATCCTGCTTCTGACACCAATTTGTTACGTCTTTGTTCGTTTGTTAATTTCTCGTAGAAATTCTTCCCGAGAAACTTCAGCGATACAAGTTCTTTCTTAAATAAAAGTAGTTTATTATTTCTCAATACAACTTTGCAATATCAGTTAATTTCCACATTTAAAAACACGCTATAATTCTCAACGAACGATTCACGCACTTTACTTACTAGCTCGCTTAACTCAATTGTCCATCTATATCTTCAATCTCTTCGTCTACTATTTAATTCCGAATAATTGTCGGGCATATATATTAGAAAACCGCACATCTAGCAAACACTCGAGCATTCACGAACCTTCGAGAATATCACGACGTGTTACTAGCGTCACGTGACTTCCGCTGTCGTAATAATACAAACACCTAAACTGAAAATTCATAGTATAGAATAATTACTTGTATATTTATATAAGATTATCATACCACACAATATTTTACCTCTATTAGTCCTTCAATGGCTCAGCAGTAAGAATGAAGGCTTATAACACCAAAAACCGGGTTCCATAACCATGGTTGGCACAACACAGATAACCCACCGTGTTGCTTTATGCTTAACAACAAACAGACAAAAATTACCTCTATTAAAACATTTTGAATGAAGGTATTGTTACGTCTCCGTTCGTTAGTTAATTTTCCGTAAATTCGTTCCGACGAAACTTTAGCGACACAAGTCCTTTCTTAAATAAAACTGGTTTATTCTTTCTGAATATAACTTTGTGATACACTTAATTTCAACAGTCGCGCTATAATTCCCAACGAACGTCTCACGTGCTCGACTTCAACAATACTCAGTTCAATTACACACTCTCTGACTGAAGTTCAATTACTCATCGTTCCCGTCGCTTGTTGGCCGGTCTTATATATACAAGACTACCCCATATCTAGTAGTCTCCCGACGATTCATGAACGTTCGAGAAGGACGTGGCGTGATACTAGTCGCGTGACCTCGCTGACTGCGCTAACTTATAAGGACAATTTTACTATTAGACCAAACATTTGATTTGTTCGTTATATTCTATTTCAATAACAGTGGTATGTCTGCGGACTTACAATGCTGGAAACCGGGTTTCAATACCAGTAGTGGGCAAGGCACAGATAGCCATTTGTGTAGCTTTGTGCTTAACTACAAGCAAGCAACAACATAAATCTTCGAAAAAAAAAGAGTGTTTGTTTGTTTGTTTTAGAGCAAAATCACATTGGTCTATCTTTATCTGCTGTGCCCGCTGTGGGGAATCGAGCCACAAATTTCAGTATTGTAAGTCTGTATACTTAACACTGTCCCACAGGGATACAGAGAAGTTAAAAAAATCATGGTAGCTATTGTTGAAATGTAAAGTAAACAAAGCCATGTGTGGGCAGTTAAATTTTCGCAAAAAAGGCACTTACAGATTTTAAATTATATTAGATAAAAAAACTGAATTAAATTAATTCATAAAAAATCCAAATTATTGGAATTAATCTGGAAAAAATAAAGGAAAATCAAATCATAATTTAATTATTCAGCAGGTTTTGAAAAACAAATACAGCATAGGCTATGCAAAATAAAATAACTAGTTTCAATGAGTTTATAGTGTTTCGGTTTTTTAGCTATATTACTGCTGTTGGTTATTTCGGACTCATTAGTTTAGATTAATGCTGCATTTATAATAGACAAGAAAGTAACAGTACCTATTGATCTGTGCGAAATTGTATTAGTTTGTTTTAGGGGATTCCTGAAAACTTTTTTTAGTTGTTAGTAATTTGATCTCCCTCTATAATAGTGGTGTCATTGGTAAATAGGCCTAATACTTGACGGCCCAGCGTATAGATCGACAACAGAAATGTCTCGAATAAGTTTTATATTAATATTATTATTACTAACGGCTAAGTCACATGTATCGTATATTTAATCAGAGGAAGATGCGAGTGAAATGTAAGTACGTCGAATTAAGCCTGGTAAATGTAAAAGTTATTCAGTTTTATTATTTCTAGTTATTTGATGTATGGTACCATTTATAATGATTTTTACTTTTATTCTTATGTTTCAGCTTTTTTATAGAATCAAAACTTGTATCTGTATATAAAATTCTAAGGAGTAAGGCCCTAAGGGACAATGTCCGAATTACACTTACTGACTTAACCTTTGTTTTTCCTTTCCAGGTGGGTGGGGTGAGGGAAATTAAGACATTTTGTAGTTAATACATATATATAACAAATTAGCACTACTTTAAAGTTTATACACAGATGATACTATCAATGATACTAATAGAGAAAATAGCTTTGTAAATTGTAGATTTTAATACTAATAGCCACTAATAGTAATATAGTAGATACCATACTTTTTTGTTTACACTTTCAGAAACGGAACTACAAGTATAATTTAGTTGAAGTAGTAAAAGAAATAGTAACATTGACAATTCTGTCGGAGTGGAGAAGTAATATGAAAACCTGACTAGGTTTGGAATTTTTTACTGTTGTTAAAACCTAAAAGGAAGCTTTTATGTATTTTAACTTTTAAGGGAATTTTAGTTCCTCCTTTCTTGTACCTTGAAGTTGAAAAGTGGTAAGGTGTATAAAGTGGCCATTACATAAGTTGTATTTTTGTATTTCAACTATTTGTCTCATCTATGCTATCCATGTTTTTCTAGTAGTACTGTTACTAGAAGTAATACCACACGATCCCAAGCTATTTAATGAAATTCCCCTTTTATTATCTCCAACCCTGATCTCTAAAATGCTCATCCAATCTCGCAAATCTCTTTGATGTTGTAACTTCTACCACACTGGATTAAGAGAAATTATTCTATAGGCCAGTAGTTCTCAAATTTTTCAGGTTCGTGTACCACTTATTGTTTAAATTTTTTCTTTCTTGAGTACAAACCCAGAACTAACTAAAAGAAAAAAGATTAAAAACTTAGTCACAAAAATTAATATTTTTAACACTCACCCAATAATGGGAAGGATGTGATTGTTTTTTCTGGCACAGTTGAAGAATATGTGGTACAGTTTTTGTTAGTTTGAAGGGAAGAAAACATTGGCAAGTCTATGCAGGCAGAGGATGAGTCTATAAATGAGGTTAGTATTGTGTATATATGTACACAGGAAGCTGAGATAGGCCTTATAACAAAGTTTATGATTTTTTTAATATTAATTGTGTTATGCATCACTGCGTGCTACAGTTTGAGAATCCCTGCCATAGGCTAATACCTTGTCATATCTGAATTTAAGCACAATAATAGATCATTTTTTCTTTCAAGATTTTTTCTGTACATCCACTCCCAAGAAAAATTAAAAATTAAATTCACACTTTATTTTTCAAGAAATTAAATGCCAGTTGACAACAGTTATTCTATAAACTAATCATTCACTTATCATTCATTTGTAATCATTCATACAACAAAATTGATGTAACTGGAGCCTAACACATTTAACCAAATCTTAAAATTGTCTTCTCCTATTTTCTTCAGAACACAGCACAAAGAAATCATAGATTAGTCGTTTATCCTATTGATTTGTATTATAATCCTTTAAGCTTCAATAATATCACTTCCTACCTGTCTTTTTTTTTCAAGAGAACTAAGAGTTATTAACCTATTTCTGTAAGGTAACATTTCCATCCCCAGAATCATTCTAGTAGCTGTCAGCACTATGGTAAAATTTCTACAGGTACCTGTGATATTAATGATATTGATCAAACAGGCCATAGCAAGTAAGTTACTATCACAAGTGAAATTAATTGCTATTTATCTGTCTACTGCTTTTAAAGTGACAGGTTAATGAATTATTGTGGTGGAAGCTAAACGAAGACACATTTTCAATACTATCTTGGTTATCATACAGATTTCTGCCAACTCCAGCCAGTAATGTGTATGTGCGTGTTTGCAGAAATTGATAACATTTATCAGTTAAATAGAAACCAGTGTCTTCTACAAAATGCTGAGTGGCTGTTGTTAATATATACTTTAACATTTAAGGGCAACAAAGAGCCTATTGGTCCATTATGGCTGTCTCATCCATTTAAAAAACAAACATTCAGATCCAGCCCTGATTATATGTTTATCACTCCTTCCTTCCTTTAAATTTACTGCATCTATCATATTTGAAAAAAATTCACTTCAAAGGCCACAGTACATCATAACCTCAAATAAGTACTGAACAAGTATATACAAGTAAGAAATCCTAATGAGAAAGCAAACAGTGTAAATGATAAACTTAATATGATGTACTGTGTGTAGATATACAAGAATGCAAAACAAAAATGCAGCTTACTGCAAATTCTTTCTGACAGTTGATTGATGAATGTGTATCAATAAGAAAAAATTATATTGTGTTGAAAATTTAAAATGAATATTAAGATTCCCTTAAAAGCTAGTTGTTGCTGATGATTAATTATATAGGAAAAGATTGATTAAAACAAAGTCAGTTATAATGATTGCTTAGAAAACTATTACTTACCACTAAAATTATTTGAGTTCTTTTTGATATGATTTTTTAGTTTGACATAAGAAACTGAGATCATGTACTTTGAAAACCATGAAAATGAATTTATTCACAAAACATACAGCTTGTTACTGATAACAGACTTATAATGTTTTTAAACCTTTATTAATAAACCAAACTTATTAATAATATTACTATTCTATATTAATAAAGTTATTATTTAAATAATCTTCTGTGTGTTCTTTTGTTATTTATAACTTTATTTTCTGTAATACTTTTTAGGTTCAAATCTTTCTGTAAAATATAAAAGTTTCATCTATTCAGCTAGTGGATAGATTCAAATATCTGACAAAATGGCCTAATAAGCCAGGTGCTGAATACTGACTGAGTATCCAGTACAACTCTGTTTATTGATACAGAAGAAAAGCTTGCTGTTATTAGCATCCCTAATAGTATATATGTATCCCTAGTCTTTTTTAATATTTGATTAGATGAGCTTTCAAGTTAAAGAGCTTGTTTGATCTCTTATTTAATATTATTTTCAATCTACTTTAAAAATATTTCAACCCCCCTTTCCACCCAACACTATTTTCCTATGTATATAGCTGTATCCATCTTGGATGAACATTTCCACTTTACTCTGAAACCTGTCCTATTTGATCAGTTTATCCCTTCATATAGCATTATCCCTACTAATCACATCTGGAATCATACAGAGAAACTTGAGAATTTTTCATTCCTGTAAAATGATTGCCAAGAAGTGAAAAGTTAAGTTTTACCTATACACCTAATTTTCAAAGTTTGTTATTCTTTTATATTGAAACTTATAGCATATTAAAATTTGATGATGAGGAATCCACTTTGAGACTAATAATGCTTGAAGACGGCTTGAATGGGTAATGAAGAAACTCTTTAATGTATGATGTTTCGACAAGGTTTTGTCATCATCAGGATGAGCAAGGATAATAGTTTAAGTATGTCTTGCTGAAATAAAGACCATAAAAGTTATTTCACCAGAAGAGAAGTCAATAGGCACATACTATTTGATATTTTCATTCTAAAATATACTTACCTCTTCTCACAATAAGAGCTATTACTCGACTTCCAGTGTTTCTTCTTTTTTGGTCTGAATTTTCTCATATGCTCCAATCCTTTATTCCCCACTTAATTTCCCTTGGCGATATCTGTCACATGATGCTCTTCACTTACATCAATGTTCCTTCTATTCTAGTGCTGTATATAAGCACCTCATTTAGGTAATATTATCTGATTTTCATAAGAGAATAATTTTTTCATTTGGGAAGCCAATGTAGGGCATGAATTCCTGGATTATTATCTCAGACACAGAGACAAATCAGATCTCTCCTATTCCACCTCTGATATCTAGCATTCCTCAGTCTAGGGGGAAGTCACTCTTAATTGAAACTGTCAGTGATCTTATTCATAGTGAATTGGAGACATTTATTCAGTTTGGTGGTGTTCCTTCATGGGGCTCTGAGGCTGCAATTGAGGACAATCATGGACATTCTGGAGAGAATTTAGATTCACTTTTTTGTGTGCCTTCCTTTATTCTGTTGGCTTCTCAGGTGGCCACTTTGGGATCAACTGCCTCAGGTTCCTTTTCCCTCGGTTGATCCATCTAGTGTGTGATGTTTTTGGACTTTCCCCAGGATTCGTCTCACCCTATATACGGTGACAAGTTATTTATTATCCCTCTAAACTTTGTTGGAAGACTCTCTAGATCACCACGTCCATTGATGACGAGTTAGGGCCATTGTTAGCATGCACATTGGTTCGATTGCCATCTTCTACATCCATCCCTGTTGTTGTTAGCATCTCAACTTTCCTCTGCTTCTACAGGGGATCATAGTTTTGCCCCTATTTAAAGGTCCCGACCCATGACATCAGCACCTCGATCCATTAGTACCCAGAATAGATTCTGTCTATATACGAGAGTTCTGCCACTCAATCAGAACACCGCCAGTGGCATCAGTGACTATTGTATGGCTTTGGGGTCTGTGGGGGCTCAGGTCTAAGAATTTCTGGATGTGTGATAAACTTAACCACTGATCCATTGGCACTACAGGTCCTTGAGTTAGGATTAGTCATTCAGTTCACATCTTCATCACCATTATCCACCCAACCTGTAGTGTTTCCTCCTCTAGCAGATCCTTCATTCTAGGGCTATCAGGGTTTTGTTGGTATGGGGACAGGGAGAGAGCTGTGCCAGTTCTTCCAGGGTTTTATTCCTATCTGTTTGTTGGGCCCAAGAAGTCAGGACATTGACGTCTAGTCATTGATTTTTCTTGTCTTTGTCAATTTTCTTGATCATCCAAGGTTCACAAGTTAGTCATTCTTCACTCTGAGTTGGCATTTTTTTACTTGGATTGTGGATGCCCAAGTTAGATTTCTGCACATTTTCATGGTGGTGGCATCCCACCACTATATGTGTTTTGTGCACAAGGGTCAGGTGCTGCAGTTCAGGGCACTGAC